GGGATTTTGCCTTGCCACCAAGCATTTTTGCTGGTTGGTGGCTCTTTAGGGAGTCTCCTTTGGGTCTCTGGCTTCATTCTTTGTCATCTCCGCTCGTGACAATCCATCTTGTGATTGGTCTTTCTTTTTCTCAGCAGGGTTTTGCTTTTGGTGGCGGCTTTAGAGTGCTCCTTTGGTGCTCTGGCTTCAATCTCTGCTGCACGTTCTTCCTCTGGAACAAATCCATCTCTGTTGATGTTTGGTCTTTTTGTTCTCTCACAGGGTTTTGCTTGGGGTGGTGCTTTAGGAGTGCTCCTTTGGGTGTCTCTGGCCTTTTCCATCTTTGTCATCTCCTCTGGCACAATCTCATCTGTTAGTGTGTTTGGGTCTTTTTTTTGTCGTGCGCACAGGTTTTCTCTTTGGTGGTCTTTAGAGTCTCCTTTAGAGTCTCCTTTGGTGTCTCTGGCCTCATCTTTGTCATCTCCTCTAAAAATGTGTCTTGTGATTTGGTCTTTCCACCATTTGTTTTTGCTTTGGTGGGCTTTGTGGTGTCCTTTAGTGTCTCTGTCAGCGGCTTTATCTTCTCTGCAGACTGTTTTGTTGTTTGAGACCTGCCAGCACAGGTTTTGGCATTTTCACCTTGTACAAAAGACTCTGTAGGTGTCCTTTGCTCCTCTGTGAATTGTTTCGTGGTCTTTTCTTTCAGTATTTTATGTACAGATGGCTTCTCCTCAGTGTGGTTTGACTTTTTTTGCTCCCTTGGTTTCTGTTCCTTTATGGTGCCATTCTGCCTTTCCTCTGTAAAGCCTTTTCCTGGACATCCAGGCAGAGATGTTTGTTTCGTTTTACCCATGGCACACTTATTGTCAGGACTCTTTGCCTTGCGTGGTCTCCCTCTACCAGCCATGATGGTCCAATGAGAAGAATTAAAAAATGCTCTGTCAGAGTCACACTTAAAAAGTTTCCGGTAAGTTATGAGAACACGCCCCTTTAAAGGGACAGACTGTGAATTGCTGAGTTTTGGAGATAACTGCTGTAGAGGTGTCCGCCTTCCCTCGAATATAATGGAGCAAGATGCCTGTTGATGCTTGTGGTGCTCGAAGCACAAAAAAACAACCGCAAAGTGCTGATTACTCAAGATAATCCAGAGACCTTCTGAGGCATTTGATGTAGGAACTATTTTCTTTCTATGTATCACCGCGCAAAAGAAAGCTTGCATTTACTTATGAGAGACTTGTGCTTGTGACAGTGCAGGATCAGATGTGTTTTTGGGCATTGTGAACAGCAAAAGCCGATTGCCATCTGCTTCCATTACATTAGAGAAAAAGCGGACATTTCTACAGCTGATATTTCCAAAAGTCAGCAACTCACTTTTGAAATGATAAAAAGCACTACAGGTAAAAGAAAAAATATTTTGGCAGGCTGACCTTTGATAAGAACTGATATGAAGACATTTTATGTTCTATGATAAGATTGAAGAACTGAGTTTTGTCATTGACAGTTCCTATTTTATTTTTATGCCAATTGCTACATCTTATGGAGAAAAGTGTGTACTGCAAGGCTGCTCTTGATTACGTCAGACTTGTCTTATAGGATTGGATAGTTCAAGGCATCTGCTGCCCCATCACTTCTTTGTAGCACATTCTGAAAAAATGACTAAAGACCAAAACCCAGAATTTTGGTTGAAACATGTTTAATGTCGCAAAGAGGCTCATGCCATCTTACAGTAAGGTGCAGTAGCTTATGCCAATTTAAGCTTCTTCAGTGCAAGTGCAAAGTTAGCAAAATGCCAATCAAAGTGCCTTAAGAATCAACAGCTGGTCTACCGGAGTCCCTCGGCAAGGAAACTTTTGGACCATTTGTTTTAGGTGCTTTTTTAAAGCTTAAACACAATAAAACACTACTAATCTACTACTCAGAAGAACATAGTTTAACTTCTTGCCATAGGCTCCTACAGAGCACCATGTAGTTGCAAACAAACACTAAAAGCAAGACAACATGTACCATGTAAAGTGACCAGTATCTGCACTCCACAGAGCTAGAGAGGTGATACATTTAGGTACCTCTAATTGTTCAATGTCTATATCAATATTACAGAAAAGTATTGCCATGAACCAAATCAACAATGTACATTTAAAACTACCTGTTTGATATTAAAATTCTACGTAATGGTAATCTAACCACTGAAATGGAGTCAGGAGTGCTGCCTCAAGGACTTCAGATCGAAATGTTCTTCTTTCCTTCGAATGCTTTTGCGATGCATTGTGATGATTAACCAGTCTTTGATTATTGAGTTGAAGCAGCCAATTGTAGAATGAAGTTGGATGGCTGATGTCCTGCCCTGGGAGACCTTGGGGTCGGCAGAGTAGCACAACATTCATTTGTTCCTCTGGGCCTTCTGGGCAGACTTTGTAACTTTACCAGTGGTGGCGACCTTCTTCTCCACGCCCTTAATCACACCAACGGCCACAGTCTGACGCATGTCACGCACTGCAAAACGACCTGCAAGGTATAAAGTAAAGATTGATATTTTAAGTGATGCTTTCATCTGGTATGACTTACTGTGGAGTCACAAAGCCTGAAAAAGTGTGTTGGGAAGCTGTTGAAATTCAACAAATCCTCTAAACTTACCAAGTGGAGGGTACTCAGAGAAGCTCTCAACACACATGGGCTTGCCAGGAATCATATCAACAATGGCAGCATCTCCAGACTTGAGGGATTTGGGGTTATCCTCCAGTTTCTTGCCAGAACGGCGATCTATCTTTTCCTTGAGCTCTGCAAACTTGCAGGCGATATGAGCTGTGTGACAGTCCAGCACAGGAGCATAACCAGCACTGATCTGGCCAGGGTGATTAAGGATGATCACCTACAACGCAAAGAGACAACATGGATGGCGTAATAGAAAGATTATTTCTTTCCTGTGAGAGAAATGACGGCACTCGTCTGTCTGCTTGTTCAGTGATTATTGCTAGGATTAGTTCAGAGTGACACAGAAGGAAGGTGCCAAAAAAAGACAGACCTACATTGAGTGAGTGTCTTGTTATGTGTTATACATTTTTTTGACAAACTTGCAGCATGACAATCCAAATGTCATTAGGTTTAAAGTGAGATTTGATATGAAGCATCAAAATAGATTTTATAACAGATATTTCTCGAGAATATAAATAGATCTGTCTTAATAAGGATTTGACTGTATTAAATCGTGCTCCTGTTTAATTTCTATAAATAAGTCCTTTGCGGTGTCTACCTGAGCAGTGAAGTTGGCAGCTTCCAGCGGTGGGTCGTTCTTGCTATCGCCAGCCACATTGCCACGGCGAATGTCTTTGACTGACACATTCTTGACGTTAAAGCCCACATTGTCGCCAGGGAGGGCCTCAGTCAGTGCCTCATGGTGCATCTCCACAGACTTCACTTCAGTAGTCACATTGACGGGGGCAAAGGTCACCACCATGCCAGGCTTCAGTACGCCCGTTTCCACGCGGCCTACTGGCACTGTTCCAATACCTGAGAAGAGGTTCGGCACAGAGAACATCTGATGTGAGGGCATTGAAGTGGACATAAAGATACTGAACTATACTGAAGACAACTCTGTTACTGAAAACTGCTGAAGCAAAACTCTGCTGTTTTGACCAAGAGGTGTTTCATATGCCATGTTTCAAGGCTCTATGTCACAATAACCCTATTCCTACTGATCAGTGACATCACTACATGCCTCCAATCTTGTAGACATCCTGCAGGGGTAGACGTAGAGGTTTGTCTGTTGGACGGGTGGGGGGCTGGATGGCATCCAGAGCCTCCAATAGTGTGGTCCCAGATGCATTGCCTTCTTTTCTATTGATCTTCCACCCCTTAAACCATGTCATCTGGAGAGCATATTATATAATTATTGTTAATAGTTGTTAAGTTTATGATCATAATAGAAGACAACTGATTGGTCTTTTTTTTTATTTATTTTTTTTATTACTTTTTAGCATTTACAATTATCTTGTAATGGCCACTTGTGGCCAGAGTAGTCCTTGTTGAGTAATAGTTGCATAAAGCTGCTTTAAATACCTAGAATAAGGGCACTCACATGGTAATAGACCTTTTTCACAGCACCTTTTTTGACATGAAAAAGTAGGGTAAAGACAGGTTACCAATGATACTAATTGAGGTTCCGATGGTGCAGCTATTGTGCATTTTTCAGTATTGGCTCACTGGAAACGCTCTGCTACTTTTAATGGAACAGAACCTAGTAGTATCATTGGTAACACTTTACCCTATTATTTCATGTCAAAATGGCTGCTGTGAAAAAGGTCTATTGCAAGGCAAAAGGGAAAAGGATTACTCTGTAGCTGCTCTGATTTGAGTTGGACCAACAGTCACAGCAACTGGTTAGTCTTTGAGCTCCATTCCTAGCAGCAGCCATGCAAATTAGTATTCAAATTCAAGGCTGCGTATGTCAGGTATATTTCTGTAGCATTTGCATTCACGTGTTCTACTTACATTGGGGCTGGGCTCGAGCATGTTGTCTCCATTCCAGCCTGAAATGGGTACGAAGGCAACAGTGTCTGGATTGTAGCCAATCTTCTTGATGTAGGTGCTCACTTCCTTCACAATTTCCTCGTAACGCTTCTGGCTGTAGTTTGGCTCGGTGGAGTCCATCTTGTTGATGCCCACAATGAGCTGCTTTACTCCCAGAGTGTAGGCCAGGAGGGCATGCTCACGGGTCTGTCCGTTCTTGGAAATACCTGCCTCAAACTCTCCCACACCAGCCGCCACAATCAGCACAGCACAATCTGCCTGAAGATGCAAAGATCCAACATTAGTACTGGTGGTGCACAGAAGCTTTGACCATTGCCCCCCTTCATTTATTATTCAAAGTTATTGTGTAATTGTAAGAGAACTAGGTTGAGGTGAGTCATCTCCTACACAATTAAAAGTTATGAATGCGATTAACTTTTTTTTAGGAGTTCTGAGGGGGCATTATTAACAATAATATGAGCTTGGATGCTGTTTATTATGACTTATTATGACTTATTATGACACTTTTAATGTTATTTACACAGGAATATTAGCCTGTTCTACTTTTACCCTCAGGACAAGTCATTATAGATCAGAGTCAACCTTTCTCAAAGAGGCTTACAAAAAGACCCCACAACTATGCTAACCATGCGCACAGATGGCTTTGCATCCTCATGTTACAGACCTGGGAGGTCCCAGTGATCATGTTCTTGATGAAGTCCCTGTGACCCGGGGCGTCGATGATGGTCACATAGTACTTGCTGGTTTCAAACTTCCACAGTGAGATGTCGATGGTAATCCCACGCTCCCTTTCTGCCTTCAGCTTGTCCAGCACCCAGGCATACTTAAACGACCCCTTCCCCATCTGAGAAATAAGTAACAGATCATTTATTCATGGTTGGCATGGCTTTCATGTTATGGTTGCGGCGGTGGGGGTCCTGCTCTTGAGGAAAGACAGTTCATTCAAGATGGCGTCTTCCTCTTGCCTGTATCCCCTTACCTCGGCGGCTTCCTTTTCAAACTTCTCAATGGTTCTCTTGTCGATGCCCCCGCACTTGTAGATGAGGTGGCCCGTGGTGGTGGACTTGCCAGAGTCCACATGGCCGATCACAACAATGTTGATGTGGAGTTTCTCCTTTCCCATGGTGACTGGAGCTGGCTTAAGTCACGAAACAGTCCGTCTGCTAAAAACAGTAAATCACAGTTAGTATGGGATACAGGTGGTTTGCCTGGTGGGAAACAGACATTATTATTGCACTAGTTATTGTGATTGACAGGTATTGAAAGGTTTTGTGAGCAGCAATAATTAGTTACTGTTAACCCTTTAACACTGTCGGATTGATTGGGCTTTGCAAGACCACACAGCCAGAGATTCAGCAAATGTATTGCAGCGCTGGGGATGGAAACACTAGTAGAGTGCTAGTGCCTTCTCAAGTGACTGGCGCAGAAATGCTGCACGAGGAAAGAGACATGAATC